AGTGTTACTATCTTAGACCATCTTAAAATGAGATATACCTGTACTGAATCTTATTATACTTTGGAGAGAAGAATGAGGATGCTGCAAGATTTGCAGCTATGTTCTAGCTCTAGGCAGACCCTCCCACACCCTGCCCTTTTAACTCCACTACAGACTTTCTTAAAAGAAAAACCCACGTACTCTTTGTGACACCACTTTCATCCCCCTGTTTTAGTTCAGTGTGATAATCTCTGGTGGTCAATTTCTATCTTCTTTTGCCTTCCTAATGTAAAGAAGAGTCTCAAATTACTTGACCCTGTGCTTCGATTGCCTGCCCCTAATTTAGTTTTTCTTCTTATTCTCACCAGTATGAAGCAAGTCCAGATTGACACACTGTTACGATGACTAAATGCTACACTACCGGTTTATTGCTCAGTTTGAGTAGTGCTAGGGTAGAAATTATTTTGTGCTATTACATAGCATTATTAGCATTTTCCGAAGTGTAAATTTTTGGTGAAACAAGGCTTTAATTAGTCAGAAGTATTATATAAATATGTTGGGCCAGGGAATTTTTTTGGTCAGGGTGGTGTATTACTGGGAAAGCATCCCACTTAAAAAAATTCTGGGAATAAATTTGTGTTGTAAATCTTCTTTTAAATTTTTAATTTTTGTTTTTCTGATTATACATGTAAAACACATTGGCTGCAGGAAATTTGGAAGTAACAGAAAAGTACTTTTTTAAAAGGAGAAATACATAACAAAATTATGTATTTTAAGCTGTGCACCCACATATGCAAATGCCAATTGAATTATTTTCGTAAGTTTCACAGGCACCTGTAGCTTGGTATGGCCAAACTGAGTAGCCCCCACTGCAGTGCTAGAACTAATGTCCACACAGTCACCCAAGACACAAACTTGGCATGTATCCTAGATTCCTCTCCTCATCCCCCATGTCAAATTAACCATCAAAGCTTTCTTCTTAATCTACTCTTTAATTAGCAAATATTTACTAAGTGCGTCCCTTCATGGAGCAGTAATGCTAAACTACTCATCTTTTTGCTTCCTATCCTGTTTTTTTCAAGTGCAGCTACCATGTTGCTCCTGGAATGATGTTTCTAAACTATACATTTGATCTTACAATGGATTCCCAGAGCTTTCAGAGTGAAGTTCACATTCTTTATTTTGGTCACTATAACCTTCATGATAGGACATTTGCCAACCACATCTCATTCCATTCCCCATCCCTGGTATCTTAAACCCCCAAACAACTTGCCGTTCCTCAAGTATATCATGTTCTCATTCGGCTCCCTTTCATCGTTGTGAAATGCCCTCCAGTTTCTCCTTTATTTTAATAATAATAATGATGTCTATTTGTCTTATTTTCACTCAATAAATCCTCCTTGAATAAATCCAGGAGGGCTTCCTGACCTCAGACTGAGTTGTATGCCTCTCTTCTAGTTTCACATACCCTACAATACATATCTCAGTCATAACAAATATCATATTTATCATACACTGTATATTGTTTTACTTGTCTGTCCCCAAAAAGTATAATAGGTACTTGAGAAATGTTTCTTATATAGGTAAATGGTATTTCTTTGGAGATCGCTTCTTTTTATGGTTTGGATGGAGATTTATTTGCATACCAAATAAGAGGAGCATTACCTTTTCACTTTGTTAATATGAATGAAAGTTCTAGGAGCAGATATTCTAGGTGTTAAGTAAGGATTTATTTAAGCTATAAATAAATAGGGAAAGCTAGGATAGGAAGGACAACTTGTCATCAGTGAGAAGAATGGAAATAAGAAATTACTTTGGGTTAATTAATGAAGAAATGGTCATTAGTGGGTTTATTTGTTTATTTTTTTATCAGTGGTTTTAGGTATCACCAGAAGCATGGTGAGGGGAAGGAAATACTCTAAACACTCAGAAAAATTACAGTGTAAATAATTTAGTCATGTAATTCAGTCATCTTGATAGTATTTAAATAAATGCCCACATTGTACCTGAAAGTTTATAATGGAACAATAATAATGTTTTGAAAGTAAGAAACAAGTTTAATATTTCTTCAGTATTCCCTCTATTGCTCATTATATAAGGTGCTTAAATAAATTATTTCTAGGGGGCTTCCCTGGTGGCACAGTGGTTGAGAGTCCGCCTGCCGATGCAGGAGACTCGGGTTCGTGCCCCGGTCCGGGAAGATCCCACATGCCGCGGAGCGGCTGGGCCCGTGAGCCATGGCCGCTGAGCCTGCGCGTCCAGAGCCTGTTGCTCCGCAACGGGAGAGGCCACAACAGTGAGAGGCCCGCGTACTGCAAAAATAATAATAATAATAATAATTAAATAAATAAATAATTTCTACTCTCATTGAGGTTACATCTAAGAATATTAAATAACTAAAATGTGTAAAGAGAACTACAAATCTTTGAACATTATTTTAAAATATTTTAGCCTCATAATTACACATCTGGGAATACAGTGCAAATAAATGATACTAATATACATGATAAAATGTGAATATTAATACCTCAGGATGTTTATGAGAATTAACATATGCAGAGCCCTTTCCACTGCTTAATAAATGTTAACTGTTATTAATATTTCTTTTTTCATATTTTTGAAGTTAAAAATAAACCATCTGCAAATTTAAAAATATACAAAACTAGTAATGAATTTAAAAAATCAGTCATGCATTGGTAATCACATAGGATAGATTCTCTCCATTATACTTCCCTGAAAATTACAAAGTTACAGTGACTACTAGTCAGGAGTAAAAGATCTAATTCAAGAATAAACTCTGCCTACTGAGGAATTTGCTAGGTTAGTCTGAGTCAGAAGGGGATTTAAACTATTGGCAGGATAAAATGGAAGAAGATACTTTATAAAGGTTGACTAACTCTTATTATTCACATTCAGATTAAGAGTTCAGTTGGTATTGTGTTTACTCTTTATTTTCTATGATGTACTTTGACTATCTCAAGCATTTTTATTCATGCAAAATATATTTCTCATTCAGACAAGGGAAATGAATGTCAGTTTTTCATATGTATTTGGCTCAAAGATCTATACGACAATACACATTTCTGACCACCTAATATTCTAGTAGTCATTTATTGTCTGTTTCTGTATTAATTTCTATCTTTATCGATGGTAAATTCCATGAGGACAATACTATGTTTTTTTCATCCTTATGTTCCAAGCATGGTATTTGGCACAGGGTGATAAACAAGTATTTGTTCAACAACAAATGAATGGATGAAGGCAACCTTATTACAACTGTGTATTTTATTATTTGGTTCACATAAAATTTAGAATGTGTACTTAGATTTACAGTGTTAAAAAACAGCATTTTAATGCTGAATTCACAACTATTGTCTATTTCTAACCATTTTCTTTATTTCCCACTGAATGATCTGGATCTATTTGGTTTGTCCTAATGCCTAAGTTATTCCCAGGTTTTAAGTTTGGAAACGGCGAGGATTAACTAGAATACTCTAGTAGGTTCTTATTATTTTATTCCAAGCTAATTTTCACCCAGTAAATCATAATATCACATATTCGGAGTTGTCCACAATATGACTCATTTTTTAAAATTCTGTTTATGCACAAAATGAATTTTTATTTTAATGTTTTTCTACCTGTTCCTGTCTTTTTTATTCTCTTACTGGCTAAATTATAAGATATCCTAAAGCAAACACTCAAGAGTTCCCTTAAAAGAACAAATTCCCTAGAAAGCAGGAGTGGAAAATAGCTATTGCCTGCTTTTCTTATTTTGTGCTGATTTTTAAAATTCTAGAATATGAACAAGTGTTATTATGTTCATGTTTCATGTAGATATATTCTTAAAATTTATAGTTTAAATTTAGAATATTACAAAACAAATAGCACATATTTTCTATTGTATTAGATGATATTTCTTATTGTTTTTAATGCATGCATTTAAAGCCCTATTTTACAAATGCAGAATGTGAAAGCCAATGTCAACTTCTCAGGTTATTATCTTTGTTTTGTGTTTGTTAACATAGTTGTTATAGTACTAATATAAATTTTAATTTTTAAAATGTTTTCTATTTTAAAATATAAGTACAGCATAACCTTCAGTTAAATACATCTGTTATAGTTCATCAAAAATAACATCCTCTGAATGTATTCTCTTGATTAACCAAACATCCCCTCTCTTTGTCTTTTTGAGTAACAGCATGCTTCTGTGGCTCTTTAATTAAATGACCTTACCTTACATTTGTCTCGACTGGCTTCTGTTTACAGAAATTGTAAACCAATTGAATGCTCTGAGCAGCTTAGATGAAGATCAAGATGACTGCATAAAGCAAGCAAATATGCCTTCAGCTAAATCAGCCAGTTCCTCTGAAGGTCTAAGAGCTTTCTTCCTTTCTTTCTGCTTCTGATTGCTTGAATTTACTGTGACCTGCTACCTCTTGACTTCTGTCTGTACTTAGCTCTCAGTTTTGTCTTTGTGCTTTTCCTTTAATAAATTTTCTTTGGTAATTTGTAGTGCACCAACAGGCAACAACATAACAGAACTTATCATCTTTAGCAAAGCCTGTATCAGGATCCTTGATAGGCAGTGATTTTAAAACATCTTATAATAACTGGTCGTATAACATGACAGAATTTCTTTAGTTAGCTTATATATTGTAACAACATTGTTTTAGAAATTTGCTTATATTAAATCAATTTGAATTATTCATATTTAGAAGTGAAGGATGTTTTTTTCTCAAAATCTATGTTAGTACTTTTTTATTGGATCAAATTAGATTGAGCTAAAAGTTTCTCTAGTTCATTATCTGATATTTTCCAATTCATGTGTTTGTTTTCTTTTATTTGAATATGTTGGTATGCTACAAAATACTTGAATGGCATTCTGTCATTGGTAAAATGCTATATCTTATTATTTGCAGGTATTATTAGTATGAAATTTTACAATTTGAGATATTTCATGAATGAGTGATAATTATGCTTAACTGTAACCACAGTGAACTGACACGTATGTTTGTTTTCAGAGCTTATCAACAAACTTAACTTTTTGGATGAAGCAGAAAAGGACTTGGCCACTGTGAATTTAAATCCATTTGGTGATCCTGATGTAGCAGAATTAAATCCATTTGGAGATCCTGACTCAGAAGGTACCAAGTTTTTTTCTTTACTTTTAAAGTCTTTGTGTATTGTTAAGTTCTCTTGAACTGTAAAGGCAGGAAGAGATTTTGTTTTTAAAGACTTGTACATTTTGTTTATAATGACAATATTATTTGTTCAATACCAATTGCAGTTGATCAGCAATTCTGGGTAGCTTCCATTGAATTGTTTTTAAAGAAAAAGAGAAGCCTTACATAGACATTTACTTGGGGCTTATATTTTAATTCTTTTTGTTAGTTTGGTCAAATAGTAAAGCTCTAATGTTAGAGATAACAGTATTTTATCTAGCTGGCATGCAGTAAAGTCTCATTAGTTTGGCCTACCAAGTAAGGTCAGGTTGTGGGACATACCCATATTAAGGTGGTGGAGGTAGCCTTTTCTCTATATACAGCTTCTTGGCCCTCACACCTCAGTGTGATGAGCCCCTCCACTCCCAACTGCCTGTCTCTGGCTGAGAATTACTCTTAGTAACGAAAGTAAATTGTGCACGTGAATGTCACAGAACAGAAAGAAGATTGAGGACCACTCCTGTCATATATACAACATGTAAGAAATAAAACCATGTATTTTTTTTGTGAGTCATTTTTCTTATCAAGTAGTTTCAAACTATTAAAGCTTAGAAAAGAGCTGTTGAAGAAGACCTCTGTTTAATTAAACTCTGTTTGCTCAAAGTAAATGCAAGAATGATTAACCCCTGTTTACATCTTTTAGACTGCTCTTATGAAATCTTCATGAGCTTTAAAGAATTTTGCTACTGCCTGTCATGGTGAAAAGTGAGGTTTCAACTTAAGGATTCACTCTATTTGTGCAATATCATTTCATAATCCACTTCTGAAAGTAATGGAAGGAGAAGAACTTCCATTACTTTCTCCCTTCTTACCAAATTCTAAATTATTAAGTTTACATTAATGAGATTTTATTTTGTTTGTGATCTACATTTTATTTTTTTTTAATTATTTTATTTATTTATTTTTGGCTGCATTGGGTCTTCGTTGCTGTGCGTGGGCTTTCTCTAGTTGCAGCGAGCAGGGGTTACTCTTTGTTGCAGTGCATGGGCTTCTCATTTCGGTGGCTTCTCTTGTTGCGGAGCATGGGCTATAGGCGCGCGGGCTGAGTAGTTGTGGTGCACAGGCTCAGTAGTTGTGGTGCGTGGGCTTAGTTGCTCTGCAGCATGTGGGATCTTCCTGGACCAGGGGTCGAACCCATGTCCCCTGCATTGGCAGGCAGATTCTTAACCACTGCTCCACCAGGGAAGCCCGGTGACTTATTTTATTTTAACATATTTTAAATCTTAACAGTTACAGTACATTTTAGAAGTAATCTGGTTCAGCTGCCTCTTTTCATAGATTAAGGAGCTGAGGCCCAGAGGAATTAAGTGATTTGAAGAAGAACTTTAGGTAAATGGAGGTGGAGTTGGAGCTAAGGTTGCTAATCAAGTGTCTTCTTTTGACCACAAAGCTTCTCAATTGCATACTAAATACATCTGAGTACACTGAGTTAAAAAAAAATTACCAAAATATTTTGAGATATGAGTATTTGAGCTTTTCATTTCAAAATCAAATTAGTAATTTTTAAAAATATATGTGTATCTTTTCTGAGGTATAGAAAGGAGTAGCAGATAACATAAATATTGTATTTCTATTTTGGAGAGGTTAAGCAAGGTTAGGCAACCTGATTGAGAAACTTTAATCATGCCTATAGAGCTAAGAAAAAACTTGACAACCAGTATTCTCTTTAAATATATAGTTCTTGGAGACTTTAGAATAAGTATTTTCTATTAGAAGAACACTCATTTTTCTAGAAATAATTTATTAATTTTTATTGATTAAAAACATGCATCCTCAAGTAACAAAAGTAGTTAAGAAAGAAAAAAATGTGTTACAGTTGTTTAGATGGTTTTTGTTTTTGTTTGCTTTTACAATTTCAGTTCTCCTCTTAGTTAGATTCATGACATTCTGTGCTTCAGTGACCCGTTTAGAAAGTTACTAAATGTATTTGTTAGCTTTTATATGAAATAGTCTCATCTTAAACTCTCCTTTGTTGCTATTCTGTCATCTTCAAATCTTGCTCTATAGTTTGAATACTTTCTTGCTTTTGGTTTTGTAACTGATGAAATTGCTTGGATCAATTTTTGTAATCCTCTACCTGAAAGTAAAAATAAAAATCTTATTTCCATTGACAGGTTTTATCAATTTCTTAAGCATTTGAGACTTGGTATTTGTTAATAAAAAAATTGAATAGGTAAAAACTCTGTAGTCTCTTCTCCTACAGAGAAAAGATAATGCTTCATTTAGATTATTATAAAGATTATAGTGGTGTTTAAGTGTTATCCTGGTCTGACAAAAGATACAGTTACTGAGTCTCTTCTCTAGCATAGGCTGTATTTAAATTCATTTCAGTGTTGATTTATTATGATGTTATGAATTCTCTTTCATACTTTATAATTGCGTCACCATGGTGTACAGAATTTCAATTCAGAGTTATTTTGTTTTATTTATTTTTTCAATATAAAGACAACATAAGTTTTCTGGGCTAATGTCTAAAGTATAAGTAAAAGTAGTTTGATTCTAAAATATAAAAATCATAAATATATGTCACTCAAGAGATTTTTCTAATAATTGGATTAAACTGTTTGAAATGTCACTTATAAAACAGTTATTTTTCTTGAAGATTTTAAAACTGATTTTCTGCCTTCTTCTCCTAGAGTATTTTGTTAGAGTTGCTTGGCATAATTAAAATTACTTTTGAACTGTTCTGTGATTATTGGCTTTTTGAAACTTTTTTCCAATTTGGTTACATACTTATATTAGTAAAATACAAATTTTAAACAGTTTTATTATACATTCCAGTTTTTTGTTGTTGTTGTTGGTTTTTTTTTGGCCTCTCCACATGGCTTAGGGATCTTAGTTCCCTGACTAGGGATTGAACCCGGGCCCACAGCAGTGAAAGCACAGAGTCCTAACCACTGGACCACCATGGAACTCTGCCTTGTTTTTGTTTCAAAATATTAATAAACATAAAAGTAAAAGAAAAAGGCTGGCACTAAGCACTCCATAAGTATTGTCGGAGGACATGACACTGTTGTAGTGCTTTTTGTGCTGTAAAGTCAGAGTTTTATTTTTAAGAGTTCCTTTGTTTTCAAATTGAAATTTGAAATTTCAATTAGAATTTAGTGGAACACATCTGTCTGCTTCTCAGTATGATTTTAATGTGGCTCTTTCAACTTCAGAATTCTTGTTATTCCTTTACGTTATTAAATAAGGTATTGATTGGGTATGAATTATGTTGAAAAGCCCATTAAAAGCGCTAAAGATTTAAGGACTTGTAGTGTACAGAAACCTGCTCTTTGAAGACTTTACAAAAGCAAATTCAGTGTAAATGGTGTATTTTTTATATATCCAGAATGAATTTTCAGATTCCTAAGTGGTCTCTGCTTGTGTAACTACCAAAGACTATTCCAAAATTTAATCCATTTTATGTTCTTTTAAAAACAGAAATTTAAATATCAGTTTGAGACGTCAAGCTAGTATAGTGAAATAAATTAAGCAATAATAGGATATTGTACCTCTAAGAAGGTTAAAATTTCCAAAATTGTTATACCATAATGCCAACATTAATAGAGATTCCAAGGGCATTAACAATTCAAAGATGCTATTTTGAAGAGCACTATTCCTGGAGAAGTAGACAAAGATCTTAGATATCACATCTTCTGGACTTAGCCCCTCTAAAACTTTTTTTTTTGACAATTTTATGTTTGGGTTTTTTTTTTAAACATCTTTATTGGAGTATAATTACTTTACAATGGTATGTTAGTTTCTGCTTTATAACAAAGTGGATCAGCTATACATATACATATATCCTCATATCTCCTCCCTCTTGCATCTCCCTCCCACCCTCCCTATCCCACCCCTCTAGGTGGTCACAAAGCACCGAGCTGATCTCCCTGTGCTATGCAGCTGCTTCCCACTAGCTATCTATTTTACATTTGGTAGTATGTATAAGTCCATGCCACTCTCTCACTTCATCCCAGCTTACCCTTCCCCCTCCCTGTGTCCTCAAGTCCATTCTCTGTGTCTGCATCTTTATTTCTGTCCTGTCCTAGGTTCTTCAGAACCTTATTTTTTTTTTTTTTTTAGATTCCATATATATGTGTTAGCATATAGTATTTGTTTTTCTCTCTCTGACTTACTTCACTCTGTATGACAGATTCTAGGTCCATCCACCTCACTACAAATAACTCAATTTCATAAAATGTGTTATTGATCTGCACTCTTTCAACCCCATAGAGTTTATTAATTCAAGATTGAGTATTTTTGAGAACACTAAATGTATAAGAAAATATCAGATAGTATTAATTTGATTTAATTCATCTTTTGCTATTGTTTTATAGAACAAATCACTGAAACAGTTTCATCTAAAAAACCAGAAGAATCCTTTTATAATAACAGCTATAATCCCTTTAAAGAGGTACAGACTCCACAGTATTTGAACCCATTTGATGAGCCAGAAGCCTTTGTAACTATAAAGGATTCTCCTCCCCAGTCTACAAAAAGAAAAAATATAAGACCGGTGGACATGAGCAAGTATCTCTATGCTGATAGTTCTAAAGCTGAAGAAGAGGAGTTGGATGAGTAAGTACACTTCATTTTGCTCTCATCATATTTTAACTAAAGAGATCTTTCTGTAATATACCTTTAGATGGGTAAAAAGAGGTCTGTCCCTATGTTAATATATAGTTTACATGTTAGTATCTATCTCATCCCCCATCCAAATTTTTACAGTCTTGACCCTCACTCTCCCACCCTCTTCCGTATGATTACGTGTGCACCCTAAACTAACAAATGAAGGAAACACGTTCCTGGAATCTCTGGTTAGAATTCCAGTTGTGTCTTCCCACAGCAACCATGTTATAAATGGTACTTAGGTGTTTTTAATCGATTACTGAAGGCATTACACTTCAGTTATGTTATGGGTCTATTGTGGGAACCAAATAATCGTTTATGATATTGATTTGATGAGAAGATTTATTCAAATGCCAAACAATGAGATCATGACATTTATAAATTAGGAATTATCTGCATTTGAGCATTTGAGTCATTATTCTTACCCAAATGAGAGGTTTATTGACCACAAGCTTAGTATATTAATAGTCAGTGTGATTAGGGTTTCTGTTTTACTCAAATCTAGATTGGGGATAGGAGGAAGGTATGTTCACATTGTATTCTGGAGTTGCACATTGCAACCCATGTAGCCGCAGACTGTGGCCCTAAGTATGTTTAAAAAGCAACAGTAAAACTTCCAGCCATGCTGGAGTAGCATAGACTAGATACAGCTTTTGTCTTACACAAGTAAAACACCGAATAAAATGTATGAAACAACAGTTTTCAAACATTGGACACAAATAGCACAGGATCCCTGAGAGAAAAGAAACGAAGAATGTGAGCCCTACATTTGTCCAAGCTTTATTTATGGGAGAGAATTTCCAACCACAATTCAGGGAGAGAGAACCCAAACACCCCAGAATCTCCCTGCATTGAGGAGGCAGACTTTGGACTTTGGAGGTACTGAGTGGCTAGAATTTGTGAGCAGAGTCTCAGAGAGGAACAGCCTACTCATAAAGAGTTTCAGAGTTCTGTAGAAAGTTTCTCTTGAGTCTTTAGCTGAGTACTGATCAGAGTACGCATATGAGGAAGTTATTGAGGACAAACAATTAGACAGAACAATCCCTGGAGTTCACCCAGGATTAAGAATAGTTTGGGTTTCCACCAGCCAGAGAGGAAAGACTTCCTAACACATGGGACATCAAGTTGAGTCCTCAGAAGGGTATTGTGCCAGTAGTGGGGGAACAGCCCGAGACTAAAGGCTGTTCTGGGCCTTCCCAGCAAAGATTAAAAGCAGAGCTCAAAAGAACCAAAATGGTTGCACGTAACTATCCCACACAAAGCCCCAAAATATTAAAAGGAATACCAAAAAATTAAGCATCCAAAACATAAAATTCACAATATCTGACAGCCAATCAGAAATTTATCAGGCATGTAAAGAAGCAGGAAGATCTGACTAATAATGAGGAGGAAACTCAGTCCTTAGATAGGAATGCAGAAATGGTACAGATGATGGAATTAATAGACAAGTGTGGTAATTTAACTATTATATAAATATACTCCAGATATTTAAGAAAGTCGAAGAAAGCATGAGCATGCAAGACAAAAAAAAAGTCCAAATTCAGTTTATAAAGATGAAATACACAGAATCTGATGAAAAATACACTGGATGGGATTAACGTTAGATACTGCAGAAGGAAGTATTAGTGACCCTAAAGACTTTGCAATAGAAACTCCAGATTAAAACATAAAGCCGGGGGTGGGGGCTTCCCTGGTGATGCAGTGGTTGGGAATCTGCCTGCCAATGCAGGGGACACGGGTTTGAGCCCTGGTCTGGAAAGATCCCACGTGCCTCAGTGCAACTGAGCCCGTGTGCCACAGCTACTGAGCCTGCGCTCTAGAGCCCTCAAGCCACAACTACTGAGCCCACACGCCTAGAGCCATGCTCGCAACAGGAGAAGCCACCGCAATGAGAAGGCCACGCACCGCAACAAAGGATAGCCCCCGCTCGCTGCAACTAAAAGAAAGCCTGTGCGCAGCAACAAGGACCCAACACAGCCAAAAATAAATAAATAAATTTATTTTTAAAAAAAAGACATAAAGGGGAAAAAAATGAACAGAGGATCAGTGGGACAACTTCAAGCAATCTAAAGTAAGTGTAACTGGAATTCCAAAAGGAGAGGAAAGAAGATGACGGAACAGAAAAAATATTTGAGGAAATAATGGCTAAAAGTTTTAGCAATTAACAAAATATATAAACCTACAGGTCTAAGAAGCTGAATGAACCCCGAAATGAACCACAAGAATGATGAAGAAAACTACTGCCAGGCTTCTCAACAAAAACAATTCAAGTCAGAAGATAGTGGGGTGGTATATAAGTACTGAAAGAAAAAAACATGCCAACACAAATTTTTATTTCCAGCCAAAAAAAAAAAAAGTCTAAGTAATGGACATTTCCAAACATGCACGAACTGAGATAATTCATAATTATCAGACTTGCTTTGCAAAAAATATTACAAAGAAGTCCTTCAGGCAGGAGAAAAATGACACTACTTGGAAATTTGGATCTGCACAAAGGAATGAAGAGCACAGGAAATGGCAAATAAATAGTATATATAAAATACATGTCTTATTTTTAAAAATCTCTTTAAAAGATAATTGACTTTAAAGTTTATATAATAATATATTCTGGGTTTGGGAACGGGTAGAAGTAAAACATATGACAGTAGTCATACAAAGGCTGAGCGTGGGGAAATTGAAAAATACTATTTTAAACTTCTTATACATGTTATTTGAGGATATACAATATTATCTTTTTTTCACAGATGATATAATTATTTATGTAGAAAATCATAAGGAATCTCTAAAAAGTCTACTAGAACTAAAAAGTAAATTTAGCAAGGTTACAGGATACAAGATCAGTATACAAATTCAGATGTATTTCTCAATGGTAACAATTAACTATCAGAAATAGAAAACTCTAAAATACCATATACAAAAGCATCCAAAAAACAAACAGACCAAAACTCAAGCATAAATTTGAACAAAGATGTGCAATGCAATACCTGTATGCTGAAAACAGCAAAAGGTCGCTGAAAGAAAACAATGGAAAGAAATATTACGGCCATGGATTCAAATTGATCTGTAGATTCAGTGCTATCCCAATCAAAATTCTGGAGTATTTTTTTGGTAATAATTGATAAAGCTAATTCTAAAATGTATATAGAAATACAATGGACCTAGAATAGCCAAAAACATTTTGAAACAAAGTTTCAAAACAAAGAACAAAGTTGGAGGACTTATGCTCTCCAGTTTCAAGACTCATTAACCAAGACATCATGGAATTGGCTTAAAGTAAACATATAGTTAAATGAAAGAGAATATGAAAATCTAGAAGTAGATCCACACATATATTGCTAATTGATTTTTGACAAAAGTAGCACAGGAAGTCAGGCAAGGATAATCTTTACAACAAATGGTGCCAGAACAACTAAAGGTCTATATCCCCCCACCCCTCCAGAAAAGAACTACAGTCCTTACCTCATAACAAATGCAAAAGTTAGCTAAAAATAGATCATACACCTAAAAGTGAAAACTAAAACCCTGGAACTTTTAGAAGGAAGCATAGGAGAAAAATCTTAGTGAACTTGGGGTAGGCAAAAATTTCTTGAACAGAATGCAAAAAACACAGAGTCAAAGGAAAAAAATTATAATTTGGACTTCTTCAAAATTAAACCTTTTTCTCTTTAAAAAACACTTATGAAAATGAAAAGGCATGCCACAGTTTGGCTAAAATTCTTTGCAAAACACCTATCTGGCAAGACTTCTTTCTTTTTTTTTTTTGCGGTACGCGGGCCTCTCACTGTTGTGGCCTCTCCCGTTATGAATCACAGGCTCCAGACGCACAGGCTCAGCGGCCATGGCTCACGGGCCCAGCCGCTCCGCGGCATAAACCTGCATCCCCTGCATTGGCAGGCGGACTCTCAACCACTGAGTCACCAGGGAAGCCCTCTGGCAAGACTTCTATCAAGAATATGTAAAGAACTCTTAACTCAATAATGACAAACTATCTTTTTTAAAGAGGGAAAAGATTTGAACAGACATTTCACAAAAGAAGATGTAAGAATGGCCATTGTGTACACAAAAAGGTGCCCAACATCTTAGTCATCAAGGAAATGCAAATTAAAACCATATAAGATATCACTACACACCAACTTGAATTGCTAAAATTTAAGACTTACTACACCAAATACTGTCAGGGACATGGAGCCACTGGTACTCTCAGAACTCTCAAAGTTCTAAATGGTGAACTATTTTAGAAAACAATTCGGCAGTTTCTTAAAATGTTAAACATATATACCTGTCGACCTAGCCGTTCTAATTCTAGGTATTTACCCAAGAGAAATCAAAGTGTATGTCCACAAAAAGATTCGTGCATGAATATTCTAACAGCTTTATTTATCATAATAGCAAGGTATGGGAATAACCCCAGTGTCCATCAATAGGAAAACAGATAAGCAAATTGTGGTATATACATACAGTGGAATACTACTCAGTAATAAAAAACAAACTATGGATACATATAACTGCATGGATCGATCTAAAACTTATTATGCTGAGTGAAAGAAGCCAGACCAAAAAAGAGCATATACTGTATGCTATTCTTTATCTAAAACTCTAGAAAATACAATCTGTTTCGAGAGAAGGCAGATGCATAGTTGCCTGAGATTGGAGGTGGAGGGAGATATGGATTAAAAGGGATACAAGGAAACTTTTGGAGAACTGGAAATGTTTGTAGTCTTGATCGTACTGATGGTTTCACACTTGTATACATATGTAGAAAACTCATCAAGTTATACTTTTTAAATATGTGCCATTTACTGTATTATATGTACATAAAGCTGTTAAAAAAAAAAAAAAGAAAGAAAACCACAGCAATGTTTAAGTTTATTAACAGAAATACTGTGTCACATGAGTGATTCCCAGCCTGGAATTCTTGGGCTTTTAGGTCTGTTTGTTGAAAATAATTG